GCAGCCCCGCCGGAACTAACCCTTCACGTGTGGATTGACAATCTGCGTATCACAGGGCCACGTAAAAGTGTGGAGTTGTGGGGGAACACGATTATGGGAAATATGCGCGATTGCGGTGCGACGGTGGGAGAGCACGAGGCCCTCACCGCGCGATATGAATTCATAGGGGTTTGTTTCAACTACACGGCTAAGACAGCATCCCTCAGTCAGAAAACGTTACGGAAATTAAAGGGAGTCACACCCCTCCACAAGATTTCGGTGGAGGAATTGGAAAGCCTTACGTCACGTATGGTGTATGCTGCGGGGGTTCAGGGGGGTTCGCTTTTTCGCCATTATTTCTTCTTGAAAATGGTGCGCAGAAGACTTTCACGACTTAAAAGCGGGCCGGCAGACGCACAAGATCCGACAGCCCCACCCCCTTTGCCCTTAAGGTGGGGCAGAAATGGCTGGACACTCTGTTACAGAACAATCCCGTAAACCCCCCGCGGGCTTTACCGACCTCAGGGGCATTGGTACCAGACGGCTCTTTATATGGATGGGGCGCGCTGTTGTTTAAGGACAGCGGGGAAGTGTGGGTCACTGGGGGTGCGTGGGAAAAAGTGCCCTAGATTATTTCACAGGCTGAAGCGAGAGCCATCGGATTGGTCTTGCTTGCTTTCAAGGGGAATTTGCTTATTACACTCCATATATGTATCGATAACACGACAGTGATGCATATTATGCAGAAAGGCAACACGCATTCCGATGCCCCGGTGGAAGGGGCGGGGCTTATCGACAGGGTTCTGCGGGACCAAGGCTTGCACGCCTTATGGGGCTATGCCGCGTCGGAAAACAACCCTGCGGACGGTATATCGCGGCGGGCGAAGGTTTTACCGACGGGCATCGCGAAGGGGTGGGACTTGCGAAGGGGGGCGCGGAATGCGGGTTAAGGGCGCTTTCAGCACCTCCTTTTCGTCAGTGGACTACAAGCTTTCACTTCCTTATAAGGGGAAGGCCTTGAGGTTACTGGATGTCCCCCTTTCTATGTGTACCAGGGGCGGGGAGTTTCGAAATGGGATCTAGATAAAAGGTCTCGTTTACTCTCTCTCTCTCTTTTACTTAATAGGGGAAAGTTGGACTGCAGAAATTGCTGGACATCATTCCCCGTCGCAACACTCGACCGTGCAGAGTGTCTGTCTTCACGGACTCCCTGTCACTCCTCATGGCACTCCAAACAGGTCCCCTGACAGTAACAGACCCCATCTTACGACTACTTTGGAATCTGTTGTTGGATCTACAACACCGCAAGGCACGCGTACGGCTACAATTTATATTCGGCCACTGTGGCGTTGCAAAGAACGAGGCATGTGATAAGGAAGCCAAGGCGGCCTCTGACCTACCACAGCGCGGGGGCACGTGGATACCGGATGTGGTAGCGCTGGCGAAACGTCACATACGCAGCCAGCTGCCCAAACCATCCATCCACCGCTCCAGCATCACCGGTCATTGGAACCCGACACACAATGATCCGAGCTTCCCTCGGGAAGAAGAGGCGGCCCTAGCTCGTTTTCGCACTGGTGTATCCCACCGCTACGGCTGGCTACTGCGAGTATTACAGCCCACCACGCCAAATACATGCAGGTGGTGCAACCCCATAGAACCCCCTCCCCCACTCAAAAAGCCTCGAATAGAAACGCCTGCAGCAAACAAAGAGGCAGTGCCTTTGCGTTTCCGTGATCTGGTCAACTGCCCGGAGTGCCAAACCCGCTATGGCTGTCGATCAAGCGCTTTGTTTCACATGCTGAACAAACGCGGATTCACACGTGCCCGCGCACTCTGGAAAGCCAAGCATCCCACAGCTGAGGAGCCGCCGGGCATCCCGCCAGAACCCCCTCCCCCAGCACCAAGGCCCAAACGCACAGCACCGGACACAACAAGCGACCCCAACCCGATCGTCAAGAAGCGTCGAGAAGAGTTTGCTTGTACCTTATGTGCGGCGTCGTTTAAAGGACAGGTGGGGCTAACAAGGCACCATCGCCACTTCCACTCCCAGCAATACCAAAACGCAGAGCGTAAACGAGCTCGGGAGATGGAAGAAAAGGCCAAACCTTGCCTCTTCAATGCGATCACTGTGAGTTCGGAGCCCTAAGTAAGACGGGGCTCTTATCCCACATTCGTGCCAGGCATCGCTCCCCAGAAGAACCGCCACGAGCAGTGACACCACGACCCACACTATTTTGTCCAATGTATCGCAGAACCATGGGCAACGCTGGAAGACTGGCAAGCCACATGAAATACAAGCACCCCGGCGAACAGAATAATAGAGCACAAGACCCAAACACAGGCACACTAAACCTCCCCAAGCGAGAGAGAGAGAAGAACCCCCTACCTTGCACGCCACTCCTATAAAGCAGGAAAAAGATAAAGCAGAATTGCCCCATCCTAAAAAGCGTATGGGAATAGAGGCTTCCTCTCCGACCGACGGCCGGCTAAAGAACGAGGGGGCCGCCCATCTACCGCCCGCGCGGCGGAGAGAGACACAATGCTTGGTGTGTTTGAAATGGTTTGCTGCTATTGAATCCGTTCGCCCGCACTGCAGGCGATATCATGAGGGCCACGGGGCTCCTGTAACGGTGAAACGCTGGAGGCACCAGGGGGATGCTCCTGACGACTTGCCTCTTTCTGCCTTCTCGTGCCCCACGTGCGGATTCCAGTGCCACAGCAAACGCGGACTCACAAGGCACCGCATAGTCAGCCATGGGTTCAGGCCGGACGTGGTGAAACCAAGCCAACGTGGAGAGTGCGAAGGGGCGGGAATGCACCTATTGAGCTGTCCCGCATTAAAGGGTCTACGGTGCCACTTTGGGGTGGATGGGGGCGACATGGAGAAGTTGCGCTTCATGCAGATGTTGGCCAAATACCTGCTTGCAGTGGAAAGGTTTTGCCCTCAACGGCCTTCCCCGACAGAACCGACGCCAACCATACAGGTCCAGGAATAGTCCTCTCTCCCCCTCTAAGCTGGGCCTCCCCTTGTATATTTTTGTTGATCTCGCCACCGAAACGTACTTCCCCTCTGCGCCGTTTCAGCCCAAAACAGGCAAGTAGGCCTACGGGATCCCGGATGAGAGGAAACAGCTGTCCGGTTCCGTCAGCGCGCGCTTTCTCACCAGACTGGATCAACGAAACAGGGAACAAAATACACAAAAATAAACAAAACCCAAAACAAAAACACCGAAAAACAAAACAAAATACATAACAAAAAAAAAAGGGACCTCCTTCCACATATAAATTGAGCAGCAATAAAAGCGCTCCACAATGGCACCTGAAGGAGTGTAGCTATCAACAGGGGTCGAAAAGACACAATGACAAAAAAAGCAAAATTTTAAAACCGTACTTTAAAAAAAATCGAACCTCTTCTTTTTTAACCCAGATGCGCGAAAAAAAATAATAGTGGGAGTAAAGTGAAGACTGCGTGACCGTATGTCTGGACCGTTATCGTTGCAAGCTCGCGTCCTTGGTATCGTGGAAATGCCTCATCGTGGCGCCAAGGTCTAGTACCAAGTTCATTATTTGGGAAGCTAAATTACCACGTCGGCAGCACCGCATTCGGCTTAATTCGGGCTACACCGTGATACGGTCGCTACTTATTGGGATAGCGCAGTTAAGTACCTTGGAAATAAGGCGTATTTTGCAAAGGGTAAAGTACATGACCCGGAGACTGCAGTGGAAAATACACGCTACACATCGATAAGTTTCACCGTCGGTTGCCCGGTTTCCCGGACTGGGGAATCCGCTGCCATAATCCCTGGCGATACTGGCCACTTAATCGTGGAACCGGGGTCTATTTCCCCGTATTGTCGGGGGGGCCAAACGCCAGCAACGTTCGCCCCCTGGAGAACTTGCTGTGCCAGGCTTGCGGCATCACACAGTACCAGGGCCCGCCGCGTCTTGCTGGGACGCAGTATTATCTTCATCGGTCTTGGGGCGCGCGTTACCGCTCCACCAGCTCTTCTGATAGAGCGGGGCCATCAACGAGGGTTGCAAAGACACGAAGAAAAACAAAAAAAAACAAATTCGCCAATCGCATCATTCGCGGAGTTTTTTTGTTATATGTGTGTTCAGCTGAAAACACAGGAGACCTTATCTGGCAGAAGTTGACTTTCTCGCCAAAAGACTTGGCCGAAGAGGAACTGCGTGGGGTGTGGGGGTGTGAGACCCCAAAGGTTTCCATTTGTAAGTGGAATTGCACTTTGATGAAGAAACAGTTATAAATGGAGAATGCACAACCGAATGTTTTTCGTCAGTTCAGAGACGATCGAAAAGGTTGTATAAAGTTGTCTGATTATGCAGTTTCTATCCCATATTGGTTTAAGAATGGTATTTGTAGGGATGATAACGTTAGAGAAATATTCTTATCAATACAGGGTGAAACGAAGTGCCCAAATCGTCTTTTTCCCGCATCGTGCGCTCCGTTTTCAATTCCAAGCCCTTTCACGACGCCTGCGCGTCACAGGAGATGTCGCTAGAAATTTTATTCACTTTTTTTTCAATGCAGTCACTTATTTTTAGAGGTCTTAATTTCATTTGGTGTCGCTAAACTTTGTTTAAGTCAGCTGTTCAGCACACTAAACCATCTGAGTGCGCATTGCCGTTGCCAATGGCGTGCGAGTCTCAGTTGCCAGTGGGGCGCGTACGCAAACTTCCACTGAGTTTCTTCTCAAAGGCGGGGGCTGCAAATATGCGATGCACGCTTTGCCCGCCAAATCGTCTTTCAAATATGTCCCCTTTTTTTCCACAAAGAGAAATGCTTCACCCACGAATCTGGACAGCAACGCCCCCACTCGTTTATATATGAAAGCAGTGGTTTAGAACTAATTGGCGTCCGACTTTTCGCACCGGCACCATAACAGGCATATGGGCAGGCGTTGTGCTAGGTCATGCCTTCATTAATCTTGGCTCGTGGGTTCGCGATGGGGGTTGCCCTTTGGGGCACGCCGATCATCCATAAACGTATAAGAGGCGTCCTTTCCCAAATTTGAGGAAGAGTTAATACGCCAAAAGGGTATTTTACTTAGTTCCCCCTTCTGGTGCATCGTGCGGGCGGCCGCGCGTTTCAAGCATTCAACCTCCGGCGTGCGAAACGGCAGCTTCTTGCGGAGTTTTCGTGCGGTTTTCTGACTTAACTGTGCAGCCTAGGCCTATTTAGTGTAGAGGGCAAAAAATGGGTTCGTATTAGTTGGTGGAAAAATGCCCCCCACCCACCGCAATCCCGTGTTTTACCTTTCAAGCAATTTGGCGCCCCCAAGCGTATGCTGCTCCATCTTGGCACCCCATTTGTGTATTATCAACTGAGTCTTGACTTTGTCGTTCGCGGGGTTTCACAAATTGCAAGTTTACAAATCCAGGGTCGCCTTTTAAGAGCAAAGTAACGGCGTGCTTTCTTCACCACTTCGTTTGTAGTGCTAAAGAGGGCTTGCTGCCCAGTGCGTTCTAAATTTTACGTTTCACACCGGAAGTTTTTGCGCCTTTGTCTGGAACGGCTACCTGAAAAAGAAAACTTTTACACGGAATGGCGACAAGGTTTTACCAGAAGCCCCACCCGTGCAGTGAGAAACCTGAACCCGCGGGACCTCGATTGTGTAGTCTTCTCTGACTTTTCGTCCTTTAGGCCAAACAATGAAAGGCCAACTCTGCCTTTACAGCTTCCTCTATACCGCTCTGAGAAAAACTTCAAAACCTGCAGATGGAGTGTAAAAAAGCTGGGCGAACAATAAATTCCTGTTTTATGAAGCCTGGTATCATTGTTTGCAATTTGCAAATCGGATTCTTTTTGAATTGGTATTGATGCGTTTCATTGGCACATCGTATATCACAGAGTGGCAAAACAATCCCAGTTCATGGAATTCAGCCGCTGTTCTATTCAATTGGTGGAAACAGTGTCTTGGCTGGTGGTTTGTAAGACTATTAGTTCCTTATTGCCCTCTGTGGCCGCCCTGTTGGGATGAAGCTGTCAAAAAAAATATTAAGCCTTGAGAAAGAGGTCTGGTCTTATACTTAATCAGCCCAGTTAAGTTCATAGCATCGGTGACCATCTTTCCAACCTCACCGTACCAAAAATATTAACAGGGTTAATTTGTCAGTGATTTTTTGACCAATGGAATAGAGAGAGTGCTCTGTATCCATAGGAAATTCTTTATGATTCACACTCTTTCTGAACCGCGTCTGCAATAGAGTACCGACGCTTTCTTTAACTGCTGTCACTGCTGCGTGGGCCGGGGCTTCCCCCCCCCCCCCCCC